TCTTCTGGTGCGTAATGCGCGTGAACTGTTTTTGGACATAATTGTCACCGGTGATGAAAAATGGATTCTCCATGCGAATATTAAACGCTAAGAATAATGACTCAATCCTAGACAAAAACCACTTCTGACCCCAAAACCAGGACTCCATCCACAGAAAGTGATGCTTTGCATTTGGTGGGACATCAAAGGAGTAATTTGTTTCGAACTCCTCAAACCACAGTAAACTGTCAATGCAGAGATCTATAGTCAGCAACTGGAACGTTTAAATCAAGCCCATCATCAGAAATGCCCGTCTCTCCTCAATTTGAAAGGTGTTCTTCTTCTCCATGATAATGCACATCTATATGTGGCATGTGTGACGCAACACAAGATTATGGAGTTAGGTTGGGAAGTTGATTCCCACCCACCATATTCTCCAGATATGGCACCATCAGATTATCATCTTTTTCTTTCGCTGCAACACCATCTTAATGGGAAAACGTATGCAAATGTGGAAGAAGAGAACATCGACATGTTTTTTTGTTTCAAACCCAAGTGATTTCTTTAATTAGGGCATTAACAACCTGATTGTAAAATGGAAAACATCATTGATAAGAATGGAGACTATTTCATTTACTAAATGTTTTGTTTTGATATATAAATTGTTCGGGTTTTTTTCATCTAAAAAAAAGCGACATTAATTTCTTGACGACCTAATATTAGCTGTGTTTCATGTATATATATTTTGATCCTCCATTTGTTACAGAAGTGTTCTATTTCGTTTATCAGTGGTTGTATATTGTATGTGGCCCAGCATGGCCAGGTGGTTAAGGCGCTACTCGCAATCTGAGGGTTGCGGGTTCGAATTCCCGTCCCACTGAACATGCTCGCCCTTTCAGCCGTGGGAGTGTTATAATGTGACGGTCAATCCCATTATTCGTTGGAAAAAGAGTAGCCCAAGAGTTGGCGGTGGGTGGTGATGACTAGCTGCCTTCCCTCTAGTCTTACACTGCTAAATTAGGGACGGCTAGCGCAGATAGCCCTCATGTAGCTTTGCACGAAATTTCAAAACAAAAACAAATATTGTATGATGGTGTTATAGGATTTTAGGCACTCTTCCAAATGGCCACGGACTTTTTAGAGTCGTTTATATACATGATGAACATGATTAAACCGGAAAAAGTGCAAAATAGTAGTTCAAACATTAACTTTACACTATAGCGGCTCTATATCTTAGACCGTTGAGTCAAATTTTGTCGAATGCTTTCTTTAAGTCGAGAAAACATCCGATCGTGCAGTGGTTTTATTAAAGCTGTTTATTATTTTCTCTGTTAATCTAATTAAGTGATCAGTAGTTTGTCGGTATTTTCTAGAGTCGTTTTGAATATCTGGTAGTTTTGAAGTTAATTCTAGATAAATAGGTAGACTGTTGTTTAGTATTTTTACTAGCAGTTTTCCTGTAAAGCTGGTTAGGCTGATAGGTCTATAGTTTTCCGTGTTATTCACGATTTCCGCTCGGTATATAGCCTGATTTGGTAGAAATATTTAAATAGTGCTGCTAAATGCTCATACAATCTTGGAAGACCCTAATTTTTATTAATATGTTTTGTATTCTGTCCTGTCCTGGTACTTTGCTGCTTATGGCTTCTGCATTTGTGATTGGTTTAGTTAATTGTTTTGATATGTGGTCGTATTCGCCTGTTAGCTAGCTTTAGTGCGAGACGTGTTTGAGTTGAAGTTGTATGTGTATAGAAGGCTATTCATTTTAACGTAATTATTTACTGTGTTAAGAAAGTGATTATTCATAGTTGGTTCGTCTGGTATTTTAAAGGTTTTTCGTAGCTGTTATTTAAAAACACTTGCTTTATGTTTTCTGCGTATGAAATTTTATTATTGTGATTGAGTGTTAGATATGATAGTGTGTTTGTTTTGTTTATTTTATTCATCCTTTTTATATGTGTCCAAGACTTCTTAGGGCCTGTTTTTGTGTTAAATTGCCTTATCAAGATAAGAGCCAACTTAAAGATAGCGCCAATTAACCAGTAAAATTGTAGATTAATGCCTTGACCAATCAGCTCAGGAGGCTCGGTAATTAAGACGTTTCTCCGCCCACCCGTAGCAATGTACAAAGATTGATGGCGTCCCATACAAATGATCCAGGCGATGTTTGAGATAGCTACAATCGGCACCAGTGTTAAAAACGTTGCCCTAGCACCGCTTCTCTTACGTCTGTAACAAAATATTTAGTTTCCACGAGATAAAAAGAACTGAACTTTTTAAACACTTGCGCAAAAATTTACCCTACTAATTAAAAGACCATGGAATTATGATAGAAAATCACCACAATCTTGTTATTCATAAAACAAACTTAACCGTAGCTAATCTTATGACGTCAACAGTTAAGGGTTAGTTTTGTTTTTCCAAAACTTCTGAAACAAAAACTGTATGAAAAATACTCATGTGGCTAGAAGAAATAACTCACCTTTGTAACTTTCACGGTGTTTATTATTTCCTCTGTATTTAAAGATGTTCCACGACATTACCGACGCTGCTCTCTCCGTAACTATAAACCACCAAAGATGGAAATGTCTGAGAAACAGAACAAATACAGAACTTTTCCAAGGTATTCAAATTGAACACTATGATAAACGTGTCTATCCATGAGTTATGAGGTTTAATTCATGACTTGAACTTGCGAGAATAAACGTACTTTGTGTTTTATAGTCGAAATTTCTAAATATTTGTTCAACAATGATGTTGTGAGAATAAAATATTGTTAAATTCCCTAAAAGACTACTTGTTAATGCTTTCGCTATAAATAATAATTATTGTCACAAAACCAGTGGTTCCCTTTAACTTGAAAATTCACTCTCAATAAAAAAAGGAATTATTTATTCAGAGTTTCAACACTTAGTATTCCCGTTTAAATCCTTTTTACTCTTCACTGTGCTACGTGCTTTCCACAACTCTAGTCACAACGTATAAAGAGATAACGTTCAAAATTTAACTTACTCTCTAATGTTTGAAATGTGCTAAGTAGAATGTGCTCAGGGTACTTATTATAGACACTGATATAAAGAATTAAAGTAATAAGATAAAAGTGACCTAAGCTATCATGGTAACAACATGAAAACAACATTATAACATAACATAATGTTTTGGGACAACATGGGACTTATTGGTCCATCTCGGCTGTTCCATCCTCTAAACTAAATTAAAATAATAAAAATCTTAAAGCCAGCCCTTATCATTCACATACTTATCAAGCTTTCTCTTAATTAAACTCACTTACATTTACTGCCTGTACAACATCCAAAGGTATCCCATTTCAAAGGCCAATCACCCTGTTACAGAAATAAAACTGTCTTAGCTGAAGATTATTCCTACTCTGCCAAAATTTATACTTGTGTCCCGTAGTCCTACTGTTCTCACTGTTAAGTATGAAAAAAGATGATGCATCAACACTATTAATTCCCTTTACCATCTTAACACCTCAATCAAATCCCCCCGAACTCTTCTTTTTTCAAGAGAAAACAATTTCAGAGATTTCAACCTCTCCTCGTATGACAACCCTTCAATCCCAGGCACCATTCTAGTAACCCTTTTCTGAACTCTTTCCAACAATTCAATGTTTTTCCTAAGGTAAGGAGCCCAAGACTGAACACATTATTCCAAATGTGGCCTAACCAGTGACCTGTACAATGAAATTATAACCTCTTTAGACTTGTATTCAATATTTCTGTAGATACAACCTAAAATCCTATTTTTCCTATCAATAGCAACAGCACACTGCTTGGTTGGCTAAGAGACTGATCAATCACTACACCAAGATCCCTTTCTTTCATAACACTATTAAGGTTATTGCCATCCAAATTGTAATTATAATTCAAATTATGTTAACCCACATGTATTATCTTGCATTTATTATAATTAACACCCATCTACCATTTATTTGCCCAACTCACTAAATGATCTAAATCCTTTTGTAAATCAACAGCATCCTCTTCATAGTTAGCAACACCCAATACCTTAATATCATCTGCAAATTTAAGTAATTTATTGAGTATTCCTTCATCCATGTCATTGATGTAAATCAAAAGAGCAAAGGTCCTAAGACTGAACCCTGAGGTACCCCACTTATGACATTAATCCAGTTTGACTGAACTTCATTTATAACAACCCTCTGCTTTCTTCCATCCAGCCACTCTTATATCTAATTTGCTAACTTATCCCCCACACCTATAGAACTAATTTTTTACAAGTCTTTTGTGTGGCACATTGTCAAATGCCTTCTGAAAATCCAGATACACCAAATCTACACCATTGCACTCATCTACATAAGCAGTACCTTTTCATAAAAAATGTTAAAAGATTTGTAAGACAAGATTTTCCCTTAGTCAAACCATACTGACTAATGTAAGTTACATTAGCTAACTTCCAATCCTCTAGTACCTGCCCACTATTCAAGGACAGAGAAAAAATAGTAGTAAGTAGCTCACATATCCAATCTTTTACCTCCTTCAAAATCTTTGGGGAAATGTTATCTGGCCCAGGAGCCTTATCGTTTTTTATACTTCCCATTTTTTTCTTAACCAGCTCAGAATTAATGCAGTCTTTAGTTTGATTTTTTTTCCATCTATCAACTGTTCAAAATGGGGAATACTGCTTAAATCTTTGTTGGTAAAAACCGAAGAAAAAACAAAACTTAATAACCCAGCCATCTCATAATCATCAGAAACTAGCCTTCCTTTATCATCCCTCAAGGGTCCTACCCCCATCATAACATTTTGTTTACCCTTAATGTATTTAAAGAAATCCTTATGGCCTCGAATGCTAGACATTCAATACATTTTAAGGGATACAAAATACATGGCTGTGAAGCGCTTTGCTTTGAATCCTACAAAACAATGGAAACAGAATATATCGCAAAATTTTCGTAAAACCGAAGGGGAATCCCTGCTCCAAACCTTGTCTAGAGAGGCTTTCCTATTCTCTTTCTTTTGTAAAAGAAATGATAACATTGTTTAGCAATAAATCCCAAGTGCATAAAACCTCTACGTTTCTGTACCGTTCACATATTTGTTAGCTTTTAAAACGCATTACCAATTTACTGATTATTATTTTCTGTAAATATCAAATATTGAATTGTGGTGTGAGAATTGGCTTTACCAAATACACTTTATTTGAAACATCTGTTTTATGAAACCTCTATTGATTAACCTATTCTCTAACTTAGGTTTCATTATCAGTAATCGTCTATTGTAATCTAAATAAAGTAATTAGGCATAACTCACACTTCATCATTTTCTTCACGTGCTGTAAGATTGAATCTACGTTCACCTTAGCTCTTAATTAACCTACAATTTATAACTGAATTCCACAGATCAAAATGTGGTGTGGGGAAGTTGCTTTATTTTACTGTGTTTGTGAGCAAAAAAAAAATTTTTATGTTGTTGATGTTTTTTTTTTTTGTTTTTTTGCTCAAGTGTTTTTGAAAAGAATTACTTCTTGGAATGCAGAGTTTACCTAGACATATAGAAACAGTGAACGTTCTATTATCTTGAAAACATACAACTACAGAAGCATCCTCTTTAGTTAATTTTCGTTGTTTATTTAATAATATAACCTAAAAGAAACCTTTAGTGTTAGGAAGCATTGTAGGTGAAGAAACACAAAGTTTCATATAATTTACTAATTTGAAATATTCGTTTTAGAAGTAGGGTTTAAGTGTTTTAAATTCAGTCTTTTCAGGCCCATACATTCTAATTTGTGAAATCAAAAACCAACACATATTGTGCGAAGCACAATCAGCATACAAAGCATGTTAGTGCTACGGGAGTCTGGGGATATGCCAGTCAGAAATATTTAGAAAAATAAATGCTATGAGAATAAATATGGAAATACTTTTGTATGAAATATGGCTTAAACAATTGCATGGCTGTTCACATATTTGTTTGTTTGTTTGAATTTATGCACAAAGCTACACAATAGGCTATCTGTGCTCTGCCCACCACAGGTATCGAAACCCGGTTTCTAGCGTTGTAAGTCTGCAGACATACCGCTGTGCTACTATGGTGCCTGTTCACATATAATCCACAAACATCCAAAACGTTAAATACCATAAGCAGCTGTGCTACAACTATATAAGCTTAATTTCTTTACATCACAAAAATAGGGGTAAACCTCCCCCCGCGTACGCGCTTTTAGTCATATTAGAAATTATTTTAGACATTTATGTGAATAAATTCATTTTGAAATAGTAATTAGTTTCATATTTTTGTGTTTCATCATTCAATGTAAGCTCTAAAATTAGCATCCTTATAAATTTTGTTTTTTTCTCGTATTAGCTATTGTTTTTTTGTATTGTATAACCAATTGCATTTTTTCAAACTAGTAACGAAATTCCATTGAGCTCAAAAACATCAACCGTGTCCGTAAAATCTAATAGCATAAGCTATATAGGCTACTTAAACAATTGTCAGTTTGTTGTTTCGTTTAATTACATTAGCTTATTCTGAAACCTGATTTGTTCTAAAATCTTCAACATTAACAGTATATAAAGACAGTATATTGGGTTTTCTGCTGGTTTTCTTAGCTTCAGAAGACTTAACGTGAATCGAAAAACTCTATAAGTTAACTACGATTAAAGAAGGAAAGAGGAAGCAATACTAATTTCTTTTCCTACTTCTTCAAAGCTACAAACCTCCATGGACGACATAGCTCCATGTCAAGTTCTATAAGCAGCCATGACATACATGTATGTGACCAGTTCCGAGCGACAGTTAGAGTTTCAACGTTGGCCAAAAAATACGCACTCAGAAATAAAACAAATGTATTTGTGAACTGAGAAATATATGTTTACTAATCACTACAAAATTTTATGATCACTTCCTTCACGGGGTTACTTTGTTCCAATTTAATACCATGTAACGTTTGCAATGTCAGTATAATTTTAGAAATAATTGTATAATACTTCTTACGTTTTCGATTTTTGTACGCTCATTTGATGCTTAAGAAAATGTACAGCAATTTGTGTGCAGTGCCATTATCTTAATTAATAAAAATTATATTTTGGGGAGAAGCGTTCTAATGATTTTTTTAATTAAATAATTAAAATGAATTATATATACATATATATATATTTTAAACAATAATCTTGATGAAACTAACAATAAAAATGAAATACCACTTTATTACTAGACACATAACCTAGTGTTTGCTCCATGCATTATCAGTGATTTCCGTGTCCTTTGAAAAGTGACACCAGTATACGCCAAACATTACATAATCCCCCTAACAACGTCTAGTGACCAATGAAATCTCATTAAATCGCTCTGACAGTATAACTGTACATTAGCTTAATATATGAGATAAATTGTTAAGTGTTTGGCTTAAATGAATAACAAAATAATCCAATAAATAGTAAAAAATATTAATACTCTAATTAAAAATAACCAACATAAGTGCAATAACAATGAAAAGTTACTGAACATCCTGCAAACTGCGTCTTTACACAACGAATCAGACTTTAAGGCCACACCTACTCTTTTCTCACAATTTAAA